AGGAGAGGCAATGACTTTCAAAATCAGGTTTTCTATGTTTCCCTTCATTTTCTCGCAAATCTTTAATGCATTTTTGAGGTGGCTATGGGGACACCAAGTGTCATCATTGGCGTATTCAAGTCTTGCCACAGAGCCATGGAGAGATACCCCAGGGAAGCCCAGCCAAGTGTCAGGCTTATAAACACCAGGCGGGAAGAGATGCCTATGAAATGAGAAGGGTCAGGTGATCCCTCCCTCTCCTGCCATGTCTGTGCATCTCTTTGCAGCTGCCTTGTCACTAAAAACAATTGCTCCCACTTATTTTGTCAAAGATAAAGCCAGACATTAAAGCAGAGAAAACAGATTTTATCCAGCAACCACTGACAGTAGAGAAAAGGTTGGAGCTTGGCTCCCATTTATGCAGAGGTGATGGCATTATAGAGGGAGAGGGAGGAGAGGGAGAGGGCAGGGGGAAGGGTACCTGTGAAACATTACAAAAGGTTGCTCAGTGTAAACTTCTGCCTCATCAGGCCAGCTGTGTCTGCCAGCTGGCAATATTAGAAGATGGGATTCTAACCTCCCACAGAGACTGGAAGACAGAGGCTCAGTCCTTTTTGAGGACTATAGTTCAAAGGAATGGCTTTCAGATCCTAGGGAAAGACACACTGGAGTCCCTAGGAGATACACACACATCTCAAAGGGATGGAGGAAGGATTCCCTTCTTGCTAAGTGTTACAAGAAAGGGAGATTCTCAACCTACCATCATCAGCAGGTATTGGCTAGAACTAATAGCCATTCTCCTGGCAGCCTTGAGCTTTCTGGGGTAGGCATTTTAATGGAAGCCTAGGGCCATCCTTGGGACAAAGCCTTATGTTCCTAGATGCCATGATAGAGTCTGGTCATCTCTTAGCCCAGAGGTTTAAACTGAGTCATTGTGTGCTGAGTTTGGTTGTTCTCACTTTCCATTCCCCCATTCGATGGCCTGGATTTTACTGGACTCTGTTAGATGGATAAAGCCATTTTCAGTGGTTTTCAGGCAGCCCAGACATAGTTATGGAGACCTGAATGAAAATAAGAAAACCCAAGAGATTGACAGTGGGCCCCACAATAGGTATCCGTTATCCATATTCAAGGAGATGGACACGAATATTTCTAGGCTTTGTCAAAATGGAAAGTGGCTTACGGAGTCAGGATGAAATTCAAACTTATATTAGCAAAGTATAGAGCTTATTGATATATTTTAAAATGAAAGCCATGACAAAATGACAATCCACAAGTGACAATGGTAGGTATGGATTTGGGAGAGACTCCATAATATCAAAATTAACCTCATTTTGTGGGGAAAAGAAAGAGAGATCAGACTGTTACTGTGTCTATATAGAAAGAAGTAGACATAAGAGATTCCATTTTGTTCTGTATTTGAGATGCTGTTAATCTGTGACCCTACCCCCAACCTTGTCCTTGCAAGAGACATGTGCTGTGGTGGCTCAAGGCTTAACAGATTTGCGGCTGTGCAGGGTGTGCTTTGTTAAACAAGTGCCTGAAGGCAGCATGCTTGTGAAAAGTCATCACCATTCTCTTAATCTCAAGTACCCAGGGACACGTACAAGGCCAAAGGTCGCAGGGACCTCTGCCTAGGAAAGCTAGGTATTGTCCAAGGTTTCTCCCCATGTGATAGTCTGAAATATGGCCTCGTGGGAAGGGAAAGACCTGATCATCCCCTAGTCTGACACCCGTGAAGGGTCTGTGCTGAGGAAGACTAGTATAAGAGGAAAGAAGGCCTCTTGGCAGTTGAGATAGAGAAAAGCATCTGTCTCCTGCCCGTGCCTGGGCAATGGAACATCTCGATGTAAAACCCGATTGTATGTTCTGTTTACTGAGAAAGGAGAAAACCACCTTAGGGCGAAAGGTGGGACTTGCTAGCGCAATGCTGCTCTTTATGCACTAAAAAGGTTTATGGAGATGTTTACATATGCATATCAAGGCACAGCACTTTTCCTTAAACTTATGTCACAGAGATCTTTATTCACATGTCTTACTGCTGACCTTCTCCCTACATGATCCTATTATCCTGCCACTTCCCTTTTTCTAAGATGGTAAAGATAATGATCAATAAATACTGAGGGAACTCAGAGACCGGTGCGGGCGTGGGTCCTCTGCCGGTCCCCTGGGTCCACTTTTTCTTTCTCTATACTTTGTCTCTGTGTCTCATTTCTTCTGTCAAGTCTCTCGTTCCACCTAACGAGAAACGCCCAAGGGTGTGGAGGCGCAGGCCATCCCTTCACATTTTAAGTGAAACTTCTACATGTTGCTACAGTAAGGGAAAGGAAGCCAACATTATGCTGGAATATATTAATTGTCATGGGATAAACAGGCAGGACATGATGCTACATTTATTAGTCACTTCTATTGATAATATTTGTGAAGGTTAATTTTTGTGTCAATTTGACTGGGCCACGGGGTGCCCAGATATTTGGTTAAACATTTTTTTCTCAGTGTGTCTCTGAGGATGTTTCTGGATGAGACTGACATTTGAATTGGTAAACTGAGTAAAGCGGATTGCTCTCCCCAGTGTGAGTGGGCCTCATCCAACCCACAGAAGGCTTGAATAGAATGAAAGGCTAGAAAGAAGTCTTTCTGCTTCAATGTCTTTGAGCTGGGACATTAGTGTTCTGCTTTATGCCTTGGACTTGGTCGTGAACTACATTCGACTCTCCTGGGTCTACTCAGGAGTAGACCTTGGACTTCTCTGCTTTCATAATCATATGAACCAATGCACATCTCTCTCTCTCTCTTTGTGTGTGTGTGTGTGTGTGTGTATCCTGCTCATTTTCTTTCTCTGGAGAACTCAGACTAATGTAGTAATATATGCCACTTGCCAGTCTTTGTCTCCATGCTTTTAAAAGGTATAAAATAAATAAATAAAACAAAACCCTGGAGGGCTCTCAAAGAAGAACAGCAAAGGAAATGAATTCTGGCAGATTTTGCACTGAGGACATTCAGGTGTGAGGAAAACATGAAAACCACTATGCTAGGAAAAGCAAATGCTGTTGAGAATGTCTCAAAAACACACATTACACGTCAATAGGTAGGGTTGACCTTCAGGTTAGAAACATTTTCCTTTAAATGCACTTTTTGTGCAACTTAAGATGAATCTAGGACTTTCACGATGGATGTATCTCTGTGTGTGTGTGTGTGTGTATACATATGTACATATACATATATATAGTGTGTGTGTATGTGTATATATAGATTATATATATATATAGAGAGAGAGAGAGTGTGTGTCTTGCTATCTTCTCCAGCCTGGTCTCCAGAGCTGGACCTCAATCGATCCTCCCCCGACCCCCTCCCAAAGTGCTCAGATTACAGGCGTGAGTCATTTCCCCTAGCCCATTTTCATATTTTTAATTTAGTTCAACCATTGTGTAAGACAGTGTGGCAATTCATCAAGGATCTAGAACCAGAAATACCATTTGACCCAGCAATCCTATTACTGGATATATACTCAAAGGATTATAAATCATTCTACTATAAAGACACATGCACACATATGTTTATTGCAGCACTATTCACAGTAGCAAAGGCTTGGAACAAACCCACATGCCCATTGATGGTAGACTGGGTAAAGAAAACGTGTCACTCATACACCATGGAATACTATGCAGCCATAAAAAAGGAGTTCATGTCCTTTGCAGGGACATGGATAAAACTGGAAACCATCATTCTCAGCAAATTAACACAGGAACAGAAAACCAAACACCACATGTTCTCACTCATAAATGGGAGTTGAAAATGAGAACACATGGAAACAGGGAGGGGAACATCACACACCAGGACCTCTCAGGGCTAGAGGGCAAGGAGAAGGATTGCATTATGAGAAATACCTAATGTAGACGACGGGTTGATGGGTGCAGCAAACCACCATGGCACATGTATACCTATGTAACAAACCTGCACGTTCTGCACATGTATCCCAGAACTTAAAGTATAATATAATTTTTTAAAAAAAATTTAAATACACATTTCAAAAATTATATAACAAGTACAGGAAACCTCCTTTATGCCAGTTTTACAAAAACAGAAAAGATGATATATCAATGACAAGGCATCAAAGGGCAATATCCTAAAGTAGTGAGAGGAAAAATACTTATTCTGGAATTCTATCCCACAATGAAAAATCTTTCAAAAATGTGACTGGAATAAGGACACTCAAAGATATACAAAAAAATGAGGCCAAGCGTGGTGGCTCATGCCTGTAATCTCAGCACTTTGGGAAGCTGAGGCAGGTAGATCACTTGAGGACAGGGAGTTGGGAGACCAGCCTGACCAACATGGCAAAACCCTGTCTCTACTAAAAATACAAAAATTAGCCAGGCGTGGTGGCACATGCCTGTGATCCCAGCTACTCAGGAGGCTGAGGCATGAGAATCACTTGTGCCAGGAGATGGAGGTTGGAGTGAGCCAAGATCATGCCACTGTACTCCAGCCTGGGTGACAGAGCGAGACTCCATCTCAACAAAATACAAATAAAAATAAAGACATACAAATAAATGAAAGCATTGACCAACCCACACTACAAGAAATGTTAAAGGAGTCCTCCAGGCCTAAGGATGAGGATACCAGACAGAAATCTGAACCTACACAAAGAAATGGAGATGACTAAAAATCGCTATGTACATACTCAGATGTTGGGGTTTAGAACACGTCTAAAATCAAATGACATGACAACACTAGCATAAAGGCCAGAAGGGGAAGTATAATGTCACTCGATGGCAGACTGATAAAGATGTATTCTAGGAACCCTAAAGCCATCACTGACTTCACAAAAGAAAGAATTACAGCTAATAAGCCAAAAAAGGAAGAAAATGGAATGATATAAAAAACCATGTAATCACTACGCTGGAACAACTGCTCTCCATGCCTCTACCCTATAGAGATACACCAGTGGCCAATGAGAAATGTACAAGAATGACGACTGCAGCATTGTTTGTAATCATAAAGTAATAGAACCAACATAATTTCAAAGATACATGAAAAGAGTTTTATTTATTTAACAAACACAAACAATTGAACAAACAAACAATGGAAGCAAGTCCTTCTGTTAAAAGGAACACAGAGGATCACGATGATGCTACTCCTCCAAGGATTTCACGGTTCCCAGATGCCTAGTTTTTCTGTCTCGTTCTTCTGGAAGATCTTTTTCTTGGGGGAGGTACACGTTCTCGCGTTTGGGGCTCTTTCAGGTTCATCTCCATTTTCCCTTCAATTTCTCCTCATTCTGTCACAATAAAAAAACAATTCTCACCTCCAGAAGATCCCGCCTGTGCCTCCGCACGAGCCTTTCAGGAGGTCTGGATGTCTGGTCCACCGCTCCCCAGCTTCTTTCCCTGCTTTTGCTTTTGCCTTCCCCAGCTCTCGCCCTCCCGCCCCACCACCCACCACCGCCGACCACCGCCCAGCTGAGCCCCCGCGGTTCTACCGCGCAGAAGGTACACTGGAGGCTCTGCCCGTTGCCCGCCCCGGGGGATGCCAAGAAATCAACCTGAATAAACGCCTTGTACAAAGAACTTTCTAATGGAAAAATCTCTTATGATTTCCATTCTCAAGGCTCTTCAAAGGACTAAACGATAAAGGCGACGATGGATTCATTCAACAAGTCCTAATCGTGTGCCCTGGTGAGCGCCAGACCCTGCTCCCCGCGAGGGGATCCACGAGCCACCCTCACCACCATCCCTGCCCTGGTGGAGCCCCCGTGCGGGACACAAGATCCAAAGATGGCAGCGGCAGCTCCGCAGCGGCCCTGAAAGCGACTGGGCCGGATGGGCACAGGCTCCCTCACTGGGCGAAGGCGGCGCAAAGAACCGGAAGAGCCATCCTGGGAGCCCACTGGGCGTTCAGCTTACCTTAGGCCCCCTGGCGGCTCCGGCCCGGGCCGCGGACCAGGGCGTTTCCGGGGGCTTCTGAAGCGGTCGAGGGGCAGGGCGGGCGAAGGCCATTCGGCTGTCCTTCTGGCTCCAGAATCTCCCAACGCGCAGGTGTCCAACGTGACCAGCGCGACTCACTGCTCTAATCGCTCCGGTTTTCCAAGGCCTTGGTCGGTAGTCCTGCCAGGCGGGCCCTGAGGCTGGAAGGGATGGGGGAGTATGGTGAGTGCGCCCTGCCTATAGCGCCCAGTGAAATCACTCGTACCTGTCCCTGCGGCGCAATCTGTTAGCACGTTCGGCTATTAACCGAACGGTGGGTAGTTGAAGCCCACCCAGGGACGCCTGCTCTAGCTTTTAAAGAGCTCATGTATTATCATCACTAGAGAATCTCCCCCTATTCTTCCCATAGTCCTAAGTCCGAAAGGTTGGTTCCAAGCCAGCCAGGGATATGCCCATTTCAGGAAGGGTTTTCTCTTCTCAGGATTCTAGTCACAGTTAACAGGGATTCCTGTGAAGGGCCACCCCACTCAGAGATACAATTCTGACAGAACGTCTCCTGAAATGTCAGGTTGTCTTGTGCCTGTGTGCAAGAATCAGAGACCAAACAAGTCACATCTGGTGCGATAAAATCCTCATGCTGCCCCTTATAGGTTTGGATGGGTTATAGAGGAACCTCATTCTTTTCATTTTTAATAGGAGGCCTAGAGAGGTGTCCTATCCCCAGGACGGGCCTGGATTTAGTGATTGCTCTATCAATAATGTGACCAGTGGAATCATTCATCATGACAGGGATCCTCTCCATTATTTTGAAAACAGTATTTTTCCCTCAGTTTGTGCATGATTTACTTACCCCTTTTCAAAATATGTTTGAAATGAGGTTGGCTTCATGATTTTAGGATTACGAAGAATCCTGAAATCATCATTCTTGTATATATATCTTTGACCTCTGATATTTCTATAGTGTAGAGAACTGAATGTGCCACTGCTATATTATAGGCTTTTTAATTATTAGTTTTGGTTTTTGTGACAGGGTCTCATTCTGTCTCTCAGGCTGGAGCACAGTGACCCAATCGCGTCTTATTGCAGCCTCGTCTTCTCAGGCTCAAGCGATCCTCCCATCTCTCAGCCTTCCCAGTAGCTGGGACTACAGGTGCGGGCCATCACGCCCTGATAAATTTTTTATGTTCTGTAGACAGGGGGTTTCACCATGTCGCACAGGCTGGTCTCCCAACTCCTGGGCTCCAGTAGCTCCGAGGACTCCTAAAGTGCTAGGATTTACAGGCATGAGCCACTGCAATGGGCCTTATATAATGCCTCTAACTTCAGCACATTGAGCACATTTATCTTCTGTGGGAAAGGCACCAAATCATATTCCAATTTATTTCTCAACACTAATACTGTCCCTTTCTTCATTTACTTGCTGGCACAACAAACTGTCCACACGCCCCCCCCCCCAACTTTATTTTAGACTAGGTCTCGCTCTGTCACCCAGGGTGGAGTGCAGTGGTGTGATCTCAGCTTGCTGCAACCTCCATCCCCTGGGCTCTAGTGATCCTCCCACCTCAGCCTCCAGAGTAACTCTTTTTTTCTTTTTCTTTTTCTTTTTCTTTTCTTTTTTAGAGATAGGGTCTTGCTATGTTGCCCAGGCTGGTATCCAACTCCTGAGCTCAAGTGATCCTCCTATCTCAGTATCCCGAAGTTCTGTGCGAGATTACCAGCATGCCACCGTGGTCAGCCCTGTTTCTTTTTAAAATGTATTTATTTTGAGACAGGGCCTCACTCTGTCACCCAGGCTGGAGTGCAGTGGCAAGATGACAGCTCACTGTAGCCTCAGCCTTCCTGGGCTTAGGTGATCCTCCCACCTCAGTCTCCTGAGTAGCTGGGACTACCAGCATACACCAACATGCCTGACTAATTTTTGTATTTTTTTGTAGAGATGGTGTTTCATCACATTGACCAGGCTGCTCTCCAACTGAGCTCAAACAATACTCCTGCCTCAGCCTCCTAAAGTGCTAGTATTACAGTCATGAGCCACTGTGCCCGGCTTGTCAGTTTCCTGTGGTGACCAAGTCACATAGGTCCAGAGAAGACAGGTCACAGTGACCTCTTTGATAGCTTTCTGCCAAGTCGCTTATCTGAAGAAAGCAAAATCACAATGGTCCCAGGCATTTTTTTTTCTCCTCCTCTTTCCTCTTTTCTTTATAAATCTTGATTTTACTTTTATTCGCTGAAAACAATCTAATGCCAGTTCTTCCTTCTATAGTAATGGAGAATGAGCATGCAGATAAGTGTCTCTATATTATTCCTCAACTGATTTCTTTCAGAGACTATGTCCATAAAAATTAGTCTATCTGAGACCCATCATTGGAGCCAACAGAATCCTGCACCTAACAGGCCCCTGGTGCAGACCTGGATCCTTAGAGCTATTGGCTCTTGTTCCCTCAGTTCTTCTGTTTTCATGAGCAGAAACTGAGCTCTTTTGCTTTTAAATACTAAGTATGGTCATTGGACAAGTCCTTTCTCTCTCTTTCTCTCTCTCTTTCTCTCTCTCTCTCTCTCTGTCTCTCGTTTGCATCGTTATTTTCTTCCATCAATGGCATCAGTGTAGGTTTCTGGTAAATGTTATGGAATGAATTTCTCAGGACAATCTCTGTTGGGTGGTGTTTGGCAAGAATCCAGTCCCTGTTTGGTGATACCTGACAGCTAATCTAGTCTGTGAGTCTTTTTTGATGGTCTATTCATTGTCCTGAGGATAATGGTATTTCCTGATATTTGAGACTGCAGTAATCAGAAGTTGCTCATATCCTGTCTTTCCAATGTTTGGTAAAAATTTTATGGGCCCAATAGCTGTCAATATCTGTAAGAGTGGCATCTCTATTATAAAGATGATCTTACTACTCAATGCCCCTCACCCCCAACTGAATTTCATTCCATAGGAGCTCTTGACCTTAACAAATTACTAACCCTGAAGGAGATCTTAACACGGGAAGAAAACTGAATCTGCAGCATGTAAGGAACAGCTTTCTTTGATTTGTATATTCGGGTTTCTAACTAGCTGAAAAATTCAAATATATGCCCTTTAAGGATTAAGTTTAAATCACACCACAGTAAGGAGAAAAAAGAGAGACATGATCAAAAGTAAGCAATGGAATCAGCAATTCGAGCACTTCTCACAACTATACAAATCAAATTTAACAACCTCTAGAACAGTAAGGAAGTTCAGCCCTTAATGAAAATGAACGAAAAGAAATTATTCACCAGACTCAAAAGGGTATCACAGAGTTACTCCGATTTTCAGCAGTGGGGGTTTTCCAAGGATCTAACGAAGTTCATTTTTCAGTTTGTTTCCCTCACTGATAAGCATTGTTAATAGACACCATTGCCTCTGGTTTCACCTTAAATGATGTTACATAACCAAATTATTTGCTTTCGAATGCCCGCTAGTTTGGTGGAAGGAATTTTTGTAATGTATAAATATATTTTCTTGTGAAACTAATTGGCATACTCTTTCAGTGGAGTGAATAAATTCTCTAAAACTTTAAAGAAATTACTTCTGATTATCTTAAGCACAGTAATAATTACATATATAAAATTAAAATAAGAAAATTAGGCCGGGTGCGGTGGCTCAAGCCTGTAATCCCAGCACTTTGGGAGGCCGAGACGGGTGGATCATGAGGTCAAGAGATCGAGACTATCCTGGCTAACACAGTGAAGCCCCGTCTCTACTAAAAATACAAAAAAGTTAGGCAGGTGTGGTGGCGGGCTCCTGTAGTCCCAGCTACTCGGGAGGCTGAGGCAGGAGAATGGCGTGAACCCAGGAGGCGGAGCTTGCAGTGAGCCGAGAACGCGCCACTGCACCCCAGCCTGGGCGACAGAGCCAGACTCCGTCTCAAAAGAAAAAAAAAAGAAAATGAAGCGGAGCGTGGTGGCTCACACCTGGATTCTCAGCACTTTAGGCAGCTGAGGAGGGAAAATCACTTGAGGCCTGGAGTTCCATACCAGCCTGAGCAACATAGTGAGACTCCTGTCTCTACAAATTTTTAAAAATTAGCTAATTAGGCCAAGCACAGTAGCTCATGCCTGTAATCCCAGCACTTTGGATCACCTGAGGTCAGGGATTCAAAACCAGCCCGGCCAACATGGTGAAACTCCGTCTCTACTGAAAATACAAAATTAGCTGGGTCTGGTGGTGCAGGCCTGTAATCCCAGCTACTTGGGAGGCTGAGGCAGGAGAATCACTTGAAGCTGGGAGGTGGAGGTTGCAGTTAGCCAAGATCGCATCAATGCACTTTAGCCTGGGCAACAAGAGCGAAATTCAGGCTTAATAATAATGATAATAATAATAATGCAGGGATGTAAAGGTCCCTTTCCAAAACTAACCCCTGAGGAGCTAAGGGATATGTGCACACAAGTAACCATGTTCTGTTCAGGTGACCTGACCAAAGAGAAAGAAGGTTCAAAATCCCCTTGGGCCCTCACTGCTGCCCAGATGTCTGGGAGTGTCAGCCACCTCTTAACCTCAATCCCCTGCTTCTTTCTCCTTTCCCTAATATACAAGAAGCCAGAAATTTTTATTAACTTGAGATGTTTCTTTAGGACATTAGTTCACCATCTTCGTGGTTTGCTAGCTTTCTGAAATAAAGTCACCTTCCCTGCCCCAATACCTTGTGTCTCCTGATTTCTTGGCTGTCATGCAGCAAGCAGGGTGAGCTTTGGACTCAGTTACTAATTCAGTAGGTAATATCTTTAAAAGGAGATAATTCTAGAAACTAAGAGACTGAATTATTCCACTTACAATTTCTTCATAAATATATTTAGATGTCATCTAATACATGATGCCATCATCCTCTATTAAATGTCAGCTCAATGTATAATTTCAAGATCTATAGTTAATTTTAAAATCCATGACTAATA